GCGTACGTACGACTAGTACGGCCGACGACCGGCCGACCCTAACCTAACTTACTTTCGTAACAACTAGTCTCTACTCTCTACTACCACTACTACTCCTCCTCTCTCTCTCTCTCTCTCTCTCTCTCTCTCTCTCTTGTCATCTTAGGGTGGTACGCACCATCCTTGGCTACTAGGGGGTGGAACGCCACCCAAAAGATTACAAAGAGGAACACCCCCAGCCGACAGTACGACCAAGGCAATTGCCTTTCAAGGCATGCCCTAAAGAGGTCTAAGAAATGGTTTAGAAACCTTAATATTTTTCATACTCTCAAAAACCCTAGATCTGAAAGGTATTGCCTAAAATAGCTCCCAACTCAAAAAATTCAGCAGGACGGCCAATAGGGTCAAAGTGTATCATCAGTCAGGCAATCAGGTGTACTAAGTCCTATGCGGGTCACCCTAGGCAAATTCAAATAAATCTTCCTGGCTGTTTAGTTTTATTTTTAAATTATTATTTGCTTGTTTATTTGAATTTTCAGGAACATTATTTATGCTAAAATTTATAGACGGGGCTTGTTTTATCAATCCTCAATTGTGTCGATTCTATTTGAGAGTAAAAAAAATGATCTTAGGTTGTATTTAGGGCTTTATTTCTTGTTTGCAGCAGTGTTATGTGGCACTTGTGAGTGGAATTAAAATACACTAACAAAAGAAAAGAGAAAAACTTTTAATTTTACTCAACTGAATTCCACATAGCCACTTTTTTCAAGTTACACAGTTCACTAAATTTCATGCAACACAATTTTAGCAAACCAGAATAAATAAGTTCATTGATATATTTCTGGAATTTACCAAAGAGATTAATAAGCTACCCAGCATAAATGTGCCCCAAAAACAAGTTGAGAATGATCAAGAGTTAAAAAGAAATACTTAAAGGAAAATTGTTTCATGCGGGCTGGGATCGCATTTCTACAACATGCGGTCCAAAGGTATAAAGCATCCATCTTAAAGATGAATGCAAATAGGTGGTCCATCTAAAAACAAGTGAAACTAACAGTCCAAATGTTTTCTTAATATAATTCTTATTTTTAGTTTTCAATTATTTTATTTTTTTATACATGATCTTCATGTTAAAGATTATATATTCTCTAAAAAGTAGGATCAAATTATATTTAAAAAATATATTTATTGCCAAGCCTGCATTTCTACAATATGTGGGCTGGCCGCATAGAAACTGGGTCCCTACATAAATTGCAAAGTCAGAACGAAAGTAAATAGGAAAAACATGTCATAATCCAAAGGACTATGAAAAGGCACATTCCACCATGGTCATAGTCCAATGAAATGATGGACAATGATGAAGACAGAGTAGGACCAAGAACACGACATGACCTCAATGGTGGCTCCACTCTCTCCATCATTGGTGATGACCCCAATACAGGTTGGTCTAATTTCATGAACAACTACTGCTTCCATAAATGTGATCAAGTCCAAAAAGTCCACAAAGGAGTAAGACTAACCAGCAGGTAATGCAATCTGGTCATGTCCATTTGATGTTTTCCTCCAGGGCATCACAATCGCCGTTTCCCCTCTACATCTCTGAACCGTTGTAACAATGACAAAAAACACAATAATGCCTGCAACAATTCCTGTTGAGATCTCCAAAATTAACACCCAAGGGGACTTTGATGACCTCTTCGAAATTTCTCCTTCCTCTTTATCTCTCGAGGCCGGGACCCTTGTAGAGGCATCAGGAACTACAAACACAAGGAAATTCATTTATGAATGAGATCAAATATTCCTCTTAATGATATTAAGAAAATTACAAATAAAGAGAATCATATTGAATAGATGAAGATCAACAATGTTTCTACAAAAATCAAGGAAATAGTTATTATGGATCTAATAAAATATTAAAGACAGAATATGGAACTGGTATAAAACGAGAAAAATGTTTCCCAAATTATAGACTAGATAAAAGTCAATGTAGTCAAGAAAATATAAACTAAAAAAGGAAAAAATGAATTTCAGCTAAATATCTGGAATATATATATATATATATAAACTAAAAAAGGAAAAAATGAATTTCAGCTAAATATCTGGAATATATATATAGATACACACGTAATAATATCTGTAATAATTCCTCCCAAATTTTGGAGTGTAATGACTGAGTGTTGGCTACTACACCTTCGAGCTGCGAATTCTGGCTGAAATTATCTGAGATATTAATCTATAAGTGACCCAAAAACAATCATACAGTTCATGTTCATGAAGAATCTTAAAGTGACTGATACAAACCAGTGTTACTAATAATTGACAAGACCAGCTGGTCCACTCTGGATCCATCTCGAGAGACAACCAATACTACGACTATCCAAAAAGTGTACCAATATCGTTTTGTTCAGCTTAGCTGATCAAAACCAGCAAAAAATCATCTCCAACAGGCAAGCACAATTGAAAGGGAAAAGTTTATATAGAACCGATGCTCTAAACAATCAAATTGGAGCCCACCTCAAAAATTTCATTATAAGAGGTTGTTTTGATGCTCAAATATCTTCAAGTTGATCATCTCGGTGTCAAGATGCATGGACATGAGAAAAAAATGGATTTCAAGTTTTGGAAATAGTGTATCTTGTAACGCATTTTTGAACCATCAATTTTCAAGTTTTCCAGTTTCATAGATCAGCTCGATCTACACTATTTTTTAAGCTTTAAATTTTATAATTAAAGGCAAAAATATATTTTAAGGCTATCACAAAGATTTTCAGTACTGAAACCACATTTCTCAATAGTATTTGAAGGTGGGCTCTAATATGATTGTTCAGAACCTCGGTTCTACGCAAACTGCACCCCAATTGAAATAGTGGAAATATTCCACAGACATTTTATTCTTTTTGCGTACATTTAAATTCTTTTTGCGTACATTTAAATTGTTTTGCCATAGTGACCATATATAATGTAAGTAGACTTGACATAAGAAGGCCAAACGGCCAACCAGATTTAACCATACTACAACCTAACCAGTTTGAAAAACTGACAAACTTTGCAATGTAAATTGTGTGGAATGCCCACACCACATATGAAAAATCTGGACGCCCCATCATTAGCTCCATAGGGTCCATAATATGATTCGATGTCATGAATCATCTCATTCTAAGCAAGTCAGACAGACACTTGCATCTTTTATGAAAACATCAAAATTGTGTGAGGTTCAAAATGAACAAGAACCATAGGGATGCATGCAGGTGAAAGAACTACTTAAGAAAGGGAGATATATAAACAGGTCACTCCATCATGGAGCCTTTAATAGAAGATTATTTGAACATTGGGCCTGTATGAATCATGGAAATTAAGAGTGTCAGAAATGGTGAGAAAGGCAATTTTAAACCGTTCAATATTTTCCATGCCCATGTCATAGCTGGTAGGAGGTGTATTTTCTGATTTTTGCCCCCTACTGAAAAAATTCACCTTTTTTTTAATTTAATTTTCTACAATTCCTGTTATAAAACCAAGGACATATTGATTTAACTAAAATACACCAACATCTCAAGTAGTTGTTTAAATTCTAATAATTAGTAAACAAAGATGTTTTAAAGAGCAAAGGTTTTTCTTGCCGAAGCAAAATAAAATAAGAAAATTCCTGCCAATTTTCACACGAATATTAAGGTGTGATTATTTAGCACCCATGAGTCAAAAGCAAAGTGTTAAAATAAACAACTCTTAAAGGTTTCTTAAGAAAAAACCAAAACAAAAAAAAAAATGGTAACATATAAATGTACCACACAAAGACCATGTCGCATATGCAAGTAGATTCCCAACACAACATACACCATCATGTTATGATTAAAAAAAATATTTGAGGTGGGCCAAAGGTAAACATGTATAGGATGTTGCATATCTAAACTCTAAAGACAGCAAATACACACATATATCCACACGCAAGCGTCCTTGCCACACATACAGACACAAATATCTGCATAGTGGATACATAAATACACATGCATGCATCCAACTATCAAACGCACGAACGCATGCACACACACACACAGCAATAATATGAAAACCAACTTTCCCACCAATCTGGTTCATTGAGAGAAAGAGCAATAATATGAAAACCAACTTTGCCACCAATCAGGTTCATTGAATCAGTATACATACTACACTGCTGAGAAGGACGCTGATTGCTGGAACCTCTATCATCCAAGCAGTTCCATTGAAAACTATATCTGAAAAAATAAGAGGTATGAGATATGTACAATAATTAAGTATAGGACAGCTGCATGAAGAGAAACGCCATCCAAAGCAAAACTAGATAGGAAGTACCTGGGGAGATAGTTTAAGCATTGGGGGATCTGTCCAACAAAGAAATTGTGCGAGAAATCTGCAATTCTCAATTGATTGGACTGGCAAAAGCCAGAGGAATTTCTACGTGGGGCATACCTGATCAGCACTTCAACTAGTAAACATCAAGATCGACATTTAAGTAAGATTTAAAAAGAAAAAAAAAGATATTTAAACTATTCATAATCATTAACCCCACAATAAAAACAAAAAAATACAACAAAAACACCTCCATTTTTTATTTTTATTTTTTTGAAATTCAAAAACAGCTTATAATAAGGGAAATTTCAATTTGAATGGACATGTTTCTGAATACATGAAGGCCATCATGTTACAGACAGTTGAACATACCTATAGAGACATGTTCAAACAAAGTTGCTTTGGGGGTAAAGAAGCCTGTGAGAACGTGCATGGGTGCATGAGAAGGATAGTATGATAGGGATCCTAAATATCGACAGGTCAACTCTGACCTACTCCACTCAAATCAAGGTCGCATATAAGAGAGGTCGTTGCATCATAAAAATGTGAAATATGGACAAAGTTGGCCAAGTTTCAATTGAGTTTGTGCTAAACACAGTGACATGGATAACTCTGCCAAGTGTTGCCATCTTTGGTGAATTTGCAAATAAAACAAAAGCACACATGCTCACATACACAAGCATATGAACAAACCCAAGAAGCCATAGCCTTTGGTCCACACTTGCTCATGTCTTTTTGCACTTTTCATGAACATGATTACGCATTGCACTTCTAAGAGTTTCCCCTTTTTAATATGGAAACCAGTGTTTTAAAATGCGGAATGTGGTCCCAATGCGATCGGGGGGCCGATGTGGTGATGTGGCTCAATGCAAGGGCATCACTCTGATGCGGTCAATAAATATAAACAATCTCGAACAATAGGTTAATGCATGAAAAAGTTATTGAGGTGATTTATGTGATAGTAGGTATTCAATTTATTCATTAACTCCAATATTATCAGCTACTTGGAGACTCCGAATCCCCTGTTAGAAGACATTAGAAAGTAGAAAATAGAAACTTGAAAGGAACTTTATAGAAGATAGGAGTGTGTTTTTATCTTTCTTAAGGCATCCTCTATTTCATTTTCTTAACTGAACATAATTGGGAAGCTATGTTTAAATCATCTCACAAATCTAGGCACAAAGAATAAAAGGTTTGACGAAGCGGAGAAGATTCGAAGCATTTCACCATAAATAGTTCTATGAAGTCCCCAATAGAAAGTTTAGAAACCAACAGGCTTCCTTATATCATTTGTATAGTTTTGCATAAGAATCAACCAAGATTTCTTAAACAATGGTGAACTCTTATGGGTTAGAGAGACATGCTTACTGGCAAATAAATATCGGAACTCATCCACCCAAAGTGATGATACCTAGCTTAGATTCCATTAAATGTGTCAAGATGCCCTTTGTTCATATTCAATACTTTTCTTGGACTTTTTTGCAATTTATTTATAGTTGTAAAATTGGAGGCTCAAGTTGCAGCACGGTTAATGGAAATCCTATCAGAAGATATGCTCTAAAACATTATATTTTGTATAGAACTCAATTAGTAATGATGATAAATAAATGAACAGTAAAAGATAGCAAATATTCAAGACTTACATTCCTTGCATATTTGATGTGAAATTCATTGTGTAAACACTGCCAGGAATAGTTCCTTGAAGCCTATTCCTATCCAAACGCAGGTCCCAAAGGTTCTTCAGAGCACCAAGCTCAGGGGGAATGCTACCTATCAGTTCATTAGATTGGAGGTTTCTGTCACAAAACAAGGAACGCGTATCAGAAGGAGAACAACTCATAGCCAGGAACCCATGATCCACTAATCCCAAAATTAATGATTGCTATTAATTACAATTTCATAAATACAAAATCATATTATTTGACAATCGTGGTGATGGTGAGGAGATGACAATAAAAACAATAATATGAACGACAAAGAAAATATTTGTCGGACCGCTCACATTTTAATGATGCTGGTCAAGTTCCCAAGCTCATTAGGGATAGCCCCGGAGAGCTGATTGTAACCCAAATCAATAACCTTCAACCTTTTCAATCCACCCAATTGTTTGGGTATTGGTCCAATAATGTGATTATTGTGGAGATTTCTGTAAGTGAAGCATTGTTCAATAATAATCAAACAAAACCACCATTGATCAGCAGAAAACCCTAATAAAATCATGAGAGAGAGAGAGAGAGAGCAAAAGAAAAACAAAAAAGAAAATGTAAGGACATATTTTGTGTGTGTGGGTATGCAGAAAAAGAAAATTTCCCAAGAGAATTAAGAAATAGAAAATTTAGTCAAGAAATTAAACGAAACACAAAAACAATCAAAATATAGAAAATCGCTAGTGGAATCATCAAATAACATACAGGGTCTCCAATGAATTAAGCAGGCCAAGTTCAGGTGCAAGAAATCCATTAAAAGATGAGCTCGAAAGGTTCCTGTGAATCACAAGTCCAATACCTCCATAACATAATAATTGGCAATAATAATAATAATAATAGCTCACAGAATTGACTGATCATGGAAAGAGAACGAGTTTACAGAATGAAACACCATATATGTCTAGATACCCATTCTTTTATAGTTCAGTTCAGACCTACAGAAAAGAAAGAGAAATAGAGAGAGAGAGAGAGAGTTCAGTCTTATTTACAGGGCTATAACAGAACCACGATATGGTGAACAAACAATGCCAAGCCAGTCACAAGGATCCGCATCAAGAGAATTCCAATTCGATAACACTGAAAGAGGGTCTTCATATATTGCTTCTTTGAAGGCCCAAAGAGCCTTAACTGTAGAAACCCGTATTATCAGAATGAGATTTCAGTAAAAAAAATCAGCAGGACAAACCCAATAAGGCATATGTCTCAGAGAACTAACCAAATAAAGATATAGAAACAATCAAATAAAGTCAATAAATGCTCTAAACTATTATATACATTCAATATCACACCTCAATATACACTTTAGGGAAAATATTATTTATTTCTTATTAATCTATTTCAACCTTTCTCTCCACTAAGAATCAAGCTAGTTCTTCAACCATCTGTCATTAAATTGTGTTATTTATTACCAACGAAGATCAAGCCTAATCCTTATAAATAATCCCAGAGCATGCAGTTAGAGACAGAGACAGAGAGAGTCCTTCTCTTCTCCTGTAATTAAGTCTCCTCTTCCATGAGGAATTAAATCTACTCTTCTACCAACTCCCAAGATTCAGCAAACAGAGAGACAGAGAGAGAGAGAGAGAGAGGTACCTTCATCAACCGTAGCGGAATGGGAAGGTAAAGAAAGAACCCCCCAAATCACAGAAAGAATAACAAAAGTAAGAGATCTCATCTCTACAACTAAACTAAACCGAGCTTCACCAAATCTCGCTTCCTTCAAACAAAGTTCACTGCATTTTCACCCAAGTCCGAAACAAGTAAAACCCATCAAAAATCATCGCCAAGAAAACCACCCCACCCAGGTCTCTCTGAGAACCAAAGCCCAAAAACCACCATTGAACTGCCTCAGCAACTACCCATCACACAACAATGGCCATGAAGACCTCGAAGGATCCTTAGACTTATGGAAGCAGGTCCAATATCCCATGTCTCGGCAACTACCCATCAAATGAAAATGTAGAGATGAAGTCAGAAGAGTGGGGATCATGAGAGAGAAAGAGGAGTGAGGGAAAAGTAAAGATTTGAAATAGAGAGAGAGATAGAAAAGTGTGATGGAATGTTGGTTTATGTTGGTCACAGAAGAGAATTTCTTATTAATAAATGATTAAATTTGTTAGGCCACCGCTTGTGATGTATACCCATCCTCAACAATTGTTTTACCCTAAGATAACTTTTGTTTAGGGGTATTTTAAACAATTAATTAAAAATAAAATAAAAATTTTTAATATATATAAAAATATTTATTAACAATAATAGAGATTGACATTATCTATATACATTATCCATAAAATGTATTAATTATTTTTTAACTATTAATAGAATGTGACTATTTTTTTATAAAAATATACATTCTACCCTTCCAAATAACCAAAAATACTTCTACTGAAAAAAATTTGTATTACAATTCAAGGTTATTTAAATGTTAAAAAATATTGAAGACTTTATAAATATACATCATAGCCTAACAAAACATGATTAAATAATAAATACATTAAATCATACGATATAATAATAGATTTATTTAAAGGGTGTTTTCCTTGAGAGAGAAATATTCCTTTACCTTATTATAGCAAGTGCGAGTCTAATAATTCATTCCTACATTTCCGCTTAGTCTCAAACAACTCACTCCACCCTTTTATATTGCATATAGTCAATCCAAGGGGTAAGGAAGGGGACATGTTGGCATTTATTTAGCCTATTGTAAAAAAGGGGGGAAATATCACTTATATGATAAAAATTAGAGAAAACTAAATAAATATCAGTTATACTTGTGTTATTACGGATTTATCAAATAATTTTTTTTATTACACGTATATCTATTTTTTACTTTTTAAAAAGTACGACTTTACCTTTTTTCAGATGTTGAACAATCGAATTATAGGGTTTTTTGGATGTTCAACATTAAAAAATAAGCCGAAAGTTTAACGTTCACATTCCCATTTTCAGGTGTTGAACATCCAAATTGAAAGATTATGTCGATACATTGTAAGCCTTGTAAAAATCGTTTCGGATGTTGGACGTCCAAAAATATCACATTTTCGAACATCCGAAAATGGTTTCGGATGTTGGACATCCTAAAATGTCATATTTTCGAATATGTATCATCCAAAAATGACTACGAAATTCCAGAGACTTTCTAAAAATTCAAAGTCATACTTTCGGATGTTGAACATCCGAAAATATGACATTTTCATGTCTAACATCCGAAATCATTTTCGAATATTGAACATCCAAAAAACCCTTCAATTCGGATGTTCAACACTCGAAAATTGAAATGTGAACGTTAAACTTTCGGCCTATTTTTAGATATTGAACATCTGAAAAACCTTCCAATTTGGTTATTCAACATCCGAAAAAGGGTAAAGTCATCGTTTTTAAAAGGTAAAAAACGTGATAAAAGGTAAAAAACGGACATATATGTAATAATATAAACTATTATTACATATACGTGATAAAAGGTAAAAAACGGATATATATGTAATAATATAAACTATTTGGTACATCCGTAATAACATAAAATATAACGGATATGTATGTAATTTTCCTAAAAAAATAAATGCTAAACTATTTTTTTTTTTGGTAGAATTAGAAGATATAATACTGCTTGACGACAACTGCTAACCACTCAAGTCGATGTTGTCAAATTCACTTTGTTTCGACCGAAAAAGCCGAAGTCTTCATATTTTAGGCCTAGACCGAAGAGAAGCGAAGCCTAGTACTGCCGCTTCCGTCACACTCGAGACTTCTTCAAGCCATTTCAACTAAAGCTTCAGCTTCTTTGGCCTTAGTAAAGAAATATTTTTTTAAAATATATATATTTTTTCATTTTTTAATTATTTATATATATAAATATCTAATTTATTTATATCAAATTTAAAAAAATAGCTGACCCCGAATCAGCTGAAATACTGAATTGCTTCACTTTTTCTCACCAAACCAAAAAAGATTCCAAAGCAAATCTGACAATATTAACTCAAGCCCATGACCAAGCCTAATTTCTGATAATATCGTTGGTTGTTCAAGAGCGGCAACACAGCTGTTATATGATAATAATACCAGTTGTTCATAATTAGCAATATATAATTCACTATTTTTTTCATTGTTTGCTATTCTAACCCTCAACAATAAGGAATACTCACCCGACTCTTAAGTGGGGTTAAATTACTAGAATACTCCTGCTTGCTTCGGATTCTTAATCTTGGCAACAGCAATTTGTCATTTTTAACATATTTTAAAGTGGTACACAGTATACCGAAACTTAAAATCTAGTCATCCTAATCTTAAATTTGATGTTTTGAGTGCCTTAATGATGATTTTGTAAAGTGATTTGAGAATTTATTTAATATTTTACCCATAAACTAAAAACTCAATGATGAAACAAATTATATCCTGAGTTGTTTTTATTTAAGGGAAAGTATAATATAAAATGACATCATTTATCTTTTATATATAAGGTGGTCACAATAATCTTGACCATTGGATGTGTCATAAAGTTCGAGAAAATTTCTCGTGAAGTTTGAGCTTTTGGAAACAATAGTTTGGCATTCTCGTATGTCGGATTTTATTTCTCTTGCTTTAACTTATGATTTGGCGCAAGTGCCATATTCTAAAGTTGTACAGTAATGAGTTGCAACCTATTTTATTTTTTTTTATTAATGAAAAATGGGTATGGGGCCTTCTCCCCCACTAAATTACCCCCAAAAAAAAAAATTCAAATCATTCCCTCGTCGTCCCCCTTTATAGGATATGAATACCATTACTTATTGTTATCCTTTCCACACCATGAATCTAGACGTCTTTAGCAAAATCAGTATTTTAAAAATCGGCGAAATGGACTAGAACCATCCGATTCTGATTAGAAATGGGTTGGGCCGCTCTAGCTCCACCAAATTATCAGGAACCGACTGGTTCCACCGGCAGAACCGACTGGTTAAACTTGTTGGTTACAGTCGATTCTATTACATAACCGATCCCACTTTAATATTTTGTCTGTTTTTTTTGAATTTTTTATTAACCAGTTCACTTGGTTGAATCGACCTGTTTTCTGGATGAACAATCCGGGCTAGTGATCCGTGTTTCTAAACCTTTATCAAAACCGTACTTCAAAGAGAGATTCAAAGAGAGAAAGAGGGAATGGAATTTGAATCTAGATGTGAGAGAGAGGCTAAATCTACCACCGTGATTTCACTTACATGTACGTTAGGAAAGAATTCATAACTAAAACTTTTCCAAACTTCTTGTTTTTTCCAACGGTGTGTTATTTATATGGAACAATATTATGCAACAAAAGTAAGGTCCATTTCAAAAACCCAAAGGAAATACACCAATTGATTATGTTGACTAGATATATGGATATGGAAAATGAAAAGATTTCTAGTCCTCAAGAAGGTTCATCTTGTAGCACATTATTCGGACTCTCCTATTTTAAAAGTTTCGAGGGTTTATAAATCTGTGTGATCTACAACATGTTGGAGCTTTTATTTTCATTATTAGGGGTTTTCATTCAATGAATACCATTTCTAGTGTGCATAACCTTTTTGGGAGCACTATGTGATCTTGTATGCAAGGTCCACTATCCCAATCCCACAAGTGAAGTTTTTTACCTAGTAAAAAAAGAATTAATAATTTTTGGATTATTAAAAAAATAAAATAAAAAATCATAATTAGGCGTTGAAATAGCTCAGCCCAACGTAGGATTTGTAGTATCAAAACTCCTTTCGAAAGAGTTTACATACACAAATACACATAAATTCCGAGCTTTAATTTCATACACATAAATTCCGAGCTTTAATTTCATAATTAAAAGAAGAAATAGCTTAAGTCATCATAAGGGTTTTTAGCACTGAAACTGCACAATCTGGAGGCACAATGATTGTTTAAAGTTGATGCCACGTTTTGAAAAGACTAGAAGGCGAGCATTCCTTTGATTATTTAAAGTTGATGCCTTTGTGGGCATATAGAGATAGAGAAAGAAAGAATAAAGCCGATAATAAGTTTTAATTAAACAATAATTTCGTTTATCTCTATCATCGTCTAAAGTTCATCGTGTGATCACGATTGTTCAATAGTGTTTTATTTTTTATTTTTTTTATACAAATCGGAATAACTTGAAATTTGGAGTATGTATTCACCAAAAATAGGGAAATCTTTGAAAATTATAAAATAAAATATTTTACTTAAAAATAATAGACCAAAATACCTCCAAAAAGTTTCAGGGGTATTTTAATCAATTTATTTTTCACGAATAAATTTTTTTATATTTTTATTAGATGCGTCTCAGTAAGATATACATACCTTTCGAATTTCAGGTCATTCTGATTTGTAAAAAATAAAAATAAAAAATAAAACACTATCGGACAATCGTGACCTAGTGATGAAATTTGGACGGTAATGAAGATAGACGAAATCACTATTTATTTTCGACTATAGGCATTTGAAAGCCTTTTCCTCTATATATATATATATATATTGTTATATGCCACTAGTGCTTTAGTTATGAAATTCTTTGATGGTGCGGATTTTCCAAAAGCAAGAACTTAATTTTGAACTATAAACTTTGTATAATTAGGACCTGTCATACCTCATAATCAGTGTTTAGATCCGGCATGTTAAGCTCATACCTTATAACCAGTGTTTTAGATCCGGCATGTTAAGCTAATGGATGTTAAATTAAGGCTAGGCTAAGCTCTACATGACTTATACTAGGCCCGTCAGACCTGCCACCTAAATGCACCCATGTTTGCTTAAAAGTACGCTTTTAAGATTACGAAGATGATGATGACGATGACAATGATGATAGTACTAAGAATAATACAAGAGGAATGATAATTATCAAAACAATATCTTGACAACTCTTAGTATTAATATGGAAAATTTATAGAAAATTTTTGTTGTATTATTATATTTTTAAATAATTTTGTATATTTTACTTATGTCCCACTTTTTAAGAGCATAAAGAGTATTTTAATTTTATCGTATTATCTATACACTAGATTAAACTTAAATTTTGATTTGTCTATACTTCTCACCATCATACAGATATAATTATAAATAATTTGAAATAAATAAAATTA